AGATTTGGAGAGCTGGAATTAACATTACATCATAATGTGTAATGTGAGTTTGATTTTCAGCTATTGTAGGAGGTGAGGAGCCCGGGGTTCATCGTCTTCTCATCCATATCAATAAACCAAAGTCTAGTTGTCCGCGCTCTTGCCCCACTTCCAGCCAAGAGAGTCAAGCATCCTGAGAGAACTTAGTATTCTTTGTAGGCCCAGAGACATCCGGAGAATGAAAAAGTACAGCTGACATTGGGTATTTACATTTACATGGCTTTGTGCAGTGGGATTTCATATGTTCTGGAGCAAGGGGTGCCTCAGCTTCCTCGTCTGAGAACTCTGGGTACTAACAGTCCTCACCTCTGAAAACTGTTTTCCACTAAGAAATGTATCTAAAGCACCTGTTCACCATGGCTGCCCATGGAGGATTAACAGTTGCTACTGTCCACAGCATTTTAAAGAGAGGAACCCAAGGCTTTAAGAAAGACTGTATTGTGTAACTGCTTCCTCCAGACTGAATCATTTCCCTGCTGGGTGGAGAGGGAGGCTCCTTAAGACTCAGGCAGTAAATATTCCTACAAGGCCCAGGAAATAAATCAACATAACAAGTCTCAGGAAACTTCTGAAATGCACAGGATTCACAAGACTCATCTTCAAGGCTATGCAAGCAGTAATGTGCTGGGGAAGGAGACTCCAGCTGCCTCAGCTGCCTGCAGGTCATGTTAGGGACTTGGGGACTTCAGGGATACAGCCCTCATGAATTCTCACCCATGTAGGGAAGCTTTGTGAGTGCTGTAGCCACCTTTGATTTGTCCAAACTCCTAGAAATAACTTGGCTGCTCTATTCCTGTTTTAAACCACAACAAACTCACTAGCCAGAAAGCTAGACCAGGGTGGAACTGTTCCTTTGGTCTGTCATCAGTGTGCTTTCTGGGGTAGATAGACATTTGTTCCTGACCTCCTTGGAAAAGTCATACAATAGATTACCTAACTACCCCGGCGTTACATACTTGATATATGGCTAAGCTAGGCTTAAGCCCATATTGGACCCCCAAATCTGATTTAGAGCTCCACTTTCTATTTTTCCTTTTTTTTTTTATTTTTAAGGGTCTTTTTATGTTTTTCCAGGATCTTGTGTTTAAAGGGGCTCTCTGCCTGGCAGTATATGCCCAGCCATTGGAAAGGAATATTCTTAACCGTTAATCCTGGTTACTAATTTGCCATTGTGGTTAGTATATTAGCAATGTTTGCTTTGCTTTTCCCTTTTTATAACAGTAAAGCTAGATTTCCAAAACTGCCTGAAAAAGCACCAGATTAATTAATAAAGATCTTTGGAAGAAAGTAAATTGCTGAATTCAAACATTAAATAAAATGCCTTTAATGTTACCCTTTGCTAAAAATACATACTTATATGAAAGGACTTGAAGGAATCATTTTCTTAAACTGCATCCCTACGGCTCAGGATGCTAAACACTTTCCAGAATAAGTATCTCTGTGATAACAACAGTACTTATGTTGTTATCAACAGTACTTATGGAGTCCTGTGTGGCAGAGGACCCTCTGGACTCTGTGTGGAAGGTGGTGGGTTCAAGCAACACACCAAATGCCCTCTACTGCAGCTCCCAATTGCAATCTAATTGATGATAATGGTAACTTTGCATTTTAGCCAAACAAGGTTACCCGAGCCCAGATCTGACTTGTGTCCTCTGTATCCTTTATGTATCCCAGCAGGAACTCTGAATATTTGCTGAATGGAGAGAGGAAGTAGGACACACAAATAACCACATGCTGGCATTTTCTATCCTGCAGGAGTACCTCCCCCAAAGCTCCTAAATTCCTCTGTAACACACGCTGTACTCAGACCAGCTGTGAAAACAGCACACTTCCAATTTTTCTCTCCTTGAATACCTGCTTATATTTCTTCTCCTTTGCCTGCTTGCAAAACCAACAAAGAGACGGGATTCTCTCCACTCTAGCCTTGACAACCTAATGGAATGCCTGGTGACTGCGGCCGCTGTCTCTATGCTCATCGAACCCCACCGTTCCCTCGTGTGAGGGTCTCTTTGAAACAGCCATGTTGTCATTTATGGCCCGGCTGCCTGTGTCGTGCTGCCCAGAGTCCGAGTGTTTGCTGTCGTCTGGATCTATATGTCTGCAGAGAAAGTTGCTGCCTGCTGCTCCCCGCCAGCCAGGCACGGCCGCTATCCCCCAGGCAACTCAACCTGCATGTGACAACGTTTCAGTCATCTGCACTCAGGTTTAATCAACTTCACCAGAGATGTAACTCGTGGCGGATCCTTTTGTTTCGCTCATCAGCTGTGAATACACACCGGAAGCTCAGCTAGCCCCCGCCAGTCCTCATCAGCCAGGGTCATAAACATTGATTCTATTTCCCTGGGTCAGAAATGATGAAGTCAATACGTAACACAGTGCCTTATATTTTCTCACACCTTTTCACTCTGATTCCTTGACAGATTTTTTTTAAAGCTTATTACATTGCATTAACTTTCAGGATTAAGTGTGAGAGCTTTATAGATTTAAATGCCAATAAAGGCAGGGATTGCACATGGAACAAACCACATTAAATTTCAAAGTGACAGCAGCTATTATTAGACCCCACCTATGGAAGTAGTGTAGTATTTTCTTGCTATGACCTACTAGCTCACTCACGAGTTATTTTTTTATTCCTTTGGCATATATTAATGTAGGGTGTAGTATTTTGAGAGAAATTGAAAGTAAAAAGTTAGGTACTGTCGTAAACGTGCTTTGAGAATTTCTGACTTCATAAAATCTATCTGAAAGCACCTATTTTAATTAATTTATTTTATCTGCAAAAAAATAAATACCCCAAGAATGGGCCGAGCCCTATCCTAAGAAGTGTAGCTACCCAGACAGAACAAACCTGGTCTCCATTTTCCAGGGCTCACGGGCAAAGGGGCAGACACAGTGAGGGGCAGAATTAGTAAGGAAGTGACGGTTTGAATGTGGAGTCCCCGTCCCACTTTGCTGTCTACTGCTGTGATAAACATCCTGGCCAAAGGCAGCGTGGCAGAGGAAAGGGTTCATTTCGCTTTCAAGTCATAGTCCATAAGCCAGGGGAGATGAGGCAGGAACCCGGAGGCACGAGCTGAAACCGTGGAGTACTGATGCTTGCTGGCTTGTTCCTTTTGACTCACGTTAGCCTGCTTTATCAACCCAGGCCTGGCTGCCCAGGGGTTGCACCACCCAGAGTGGCCTGGGTCCTCTCACATCAATTAGCAATGAAGAAAATGAAACAACCCCCCCCCACACACACACAGACATGCCACAGGTATAATCACAGGAACAATCACGTTAAATAATCCACAGGACGCTGTTTCAGACAGTGGAGCAGGACACAGGGGGAGTGGCTATTATTATTATCTTTATTGTTCTGAAGCTGGGATGACGTATGTAACAGCTACTTAACAAGCATGTGGTAGAGACTCCCTTCCTTGAACAATTCTGTGATGACTGATGGCAGTGTCCCTAGGTGAACTGACAGAAATTAAGTTGAAGATAAAGGGGCATGCACAGTCTCCCCAGGACTTCATAGTGTGCTGTCTACACAGCCTCACACGTGGCAGAGTGGTGGGAAAACAGAATTTGTAAACTAACCAAAGATGGTGACTCACTGGCCCCCAAGCACCCCGAAGGTACCAAGCCTTGGGGAGATAAAGACAGGCTTCTGGTTCTACCACGAACTGGCTGTGGACACCAACCTAGAGCGAGGGCTCAGTGCTTAAAAGCATCCATTGCTCTTGCATAGGAACCTGAGTTTGGTACCCAGCACTCAAGTCAGGCAACTCACAACTGCCTGTAGCTACAGCTCAAGGGGATCTGATGCCCTGGCCTTCTATTGGGCACCTGGCACTGATTTGCACATGTAGACACACATACACATGTATGATGGAAACCATATAAATCTTAAAAAAAAAAAAAGTATCCAACTGTGGGTGCTCTGATTTCCTCATCTACCAAATGGAAACATTAGCACCAGCCTCAGGGTAGGTGAGAGGTCCCAAAGGAGTCAGTGCTTGTGTTTAGCACACTAAGAAACGCTAGGCACTCAGAAATAGCCAGAACTATTACAGAGGACCTGCCACTCTCACGGTGAACAACAGAGAGCGAAACACTGATATATATCCTTTGCATACTAAAGGGACAATAGCTATCCAATTTTGCTGTCTAGGTAAATTGTTATTTAAGACTGAGATTAAAAGATATTTTCAGATTGAAACTAAAAATATTTACAACCACCTTTAATCCCAGCACTCGGGAGGCAGAGCCAGGCAGGATCGCTGTAAGTTTGAGACTAGCCTGGTCTACAGAGTGAGTTCGAGGACAGGCACCAAAACTACACAGAGAAACCCTGCCTCAAAAAAAAAAACTATATATATATATATATATATATATATATATATATATATATATATATATATGATGCATATATATGCATTATATATATATGCAATAAACCACTCTTCAGAATTACTAAAGGGTTACTATGCTAGAAATAAATGAATTTCTCTGCATGCTGACCAGGTCTCCATATCAATTGCTCTCTACATAAAGGAGATGTGCCTTTGAAGAGCGTTGAGAGATGCACTGATCTGTGGGCATAGCAATACGTCACGAAGAGTCATTTTAGCTATGTTTGTTCAGCAGAATAATAGCATTATGTTCTCCCTTAGGGCCTATGACCTGTCAGGTTCTTATTCCTGTTAATGGTACCAGGTACGAGTTCTGTCTCATGGAGCAGGCCTTAGATTAAATCAGAACATGGTTCACAAATGGGTAAGCCTGATGACTACTTTTCTCCTCTGGTAGTATGAAGAGCCTCTTCCAGCGATATGAAAGCTAGCCAGGAAAGATGGAGTTTCCAGGGAGTACCCATTGATTTCTCCATGTGCTATGACTCCAGTATGTGATATCTTCAGCAATAGTATCTTGCTGTCAAGTTCTAAAGGGTAACCAAGAGCTTTAGCAATGTCCTGTAAAATTTATAGACTCATTGGCCAACAACCTGAAAAGAAGTAACCCCTTTCTGGTACTGTTTTTTTTTTTGTTTTTTTTGTTATTGTTGTTGTTGTTTGTTTGTTTTTTTATTCACTAGCATATGGTGTCTAGTTGGGTTATTGTCTACCCATTATAAAACACACACACATACAGAGAGAGACAGAGAGACAGAGAGACAGAGACAGAGAGAGACAGAGAGACAGAGACAGAGACAGAGAGACAGAGACAGAGAGAGAGAAAGAGGGTGCACTCATACCCCTCTCCCAAAAGCTCAGTGATATCCTAGGAACATGGGGTAGCTGGAAAGACTGTAAGACCCAGACATGGTGGATAATATTAGTGTTTTCTGGACACAACAAGGCACTTGCACACATAAACTTACGGCAATTATGACAGCATGCACAAGACCTCCAAATGCTCAAGCTAGACAAAGTGCCAGCATGGAATGGGAGGGATGTGGGCATGAAAATCCCACCACTGGCTGAGAAGCTATTGGTATTACATAAGTTCTGGGAGAGGACAGTCACTTTTGTTTCATGATGTTACCCATGGTAAGTGAACCACACTTCATGGAAAGCCCCACTGCCAATAATATATGGATAGCACAGGTCGGACTGATGTGTTTAAAGAAGGGAGAGGAGGAGGGAGGGGGGACAGAGGCGATTCAAAGTTGGGAGGTAAGAAGGTAGGAATGGGCCGGGCGGTGGTGGCACACGCCTTTAGGATCTCTGTGAGTTCGAGGCCAGCCTGGTCTACAGAGCAGGATCCAGGACAGGCACCAAAACTACACAGAGAAACCCTGTCTCAAAACAAACAAACAAACAAACAAACAAACAAACAAACAAAACAAGGTAGGAATGGAAAGAGTAGATTTGGGAGAAGTTGGGGAAGTAGGGATGAATATGATAAAAATATATGAAAGTCTCAAAGAATTATCTAAAAATCTTTTCAAATGTAAATAAACATAAAAGTAAAATCAAACAAATCCATTAGTTTATAAGGCTGAGTTATAGGAAGCAAATGCCATCAGGAAAGATATTTAAAAATTATTGAGTATGTATTGACTGTATAATGACCACTTTTTCATGTTTTGTATGGGCATGGACATTTGTGCCTGCCTGCATGTGCACGTGGAACCCGGAGGTTGACGGCAATTGTCTTCAACCGATTTCCACCTTGTTTTTAGAGATAGCTTCTCTCACTGAATTTGGGGCTTGCCAATTCTGCTAGGATGGCTGGCTGAAAAGTCCCAGGAGTATTTCTGTCTCTCCCTCTCCAGTGTTGGGTTTACCATTTTCACATGGGTGTCAGGGGTCTGAACTCAGGTCCTCACGATTACATGGCAAGTTCTTTACCAACTGAGCTGTCTCTCCAAACCCCCGTCCCATGCATGCATGTGTGTGTGTGTGTGTGTGTGTGTGTGTGTGTGTGTGTGGTGTGTGTGAGCATCTGCATGTATGTGCATACCTGTGTGTGTGTTGAAATAAAATTTCAATTTAAAACTAAATTTTAAAAAATAACAGAAGTTGTTGAACAAATAACTGTATCATCATGAGGTTGTGTCTTATAAGGGATGAAGACAAAAATACTGAAGAACTTCATGCACTTACAGAGAAACATGCCGTTCAGTATCTAGAAAGTTAGCTTAAGGGTAATGTTTAACGTGTAAAATACAATATAGAGCTTCTAAACTGTCGGGGGATTGGAAATGAAAAATGAAAGAAATAACAGGGTCGTGAGAAAGGCAAATAGAAAATACAAACAAGGCACCAGTGTTGGGAAGATCCTGCCAGTAAACAATATAAATTCACCGTGAGGAAGGTGTGTAAACAGATGTTGGAACAGTTTTTCAATAGTAAACAACAGACTATGTTATGTGGCTGAGTTGGTCTAACTATTTCCTGCAAAAGTGCAAGGGGCAAGATGTGTAGTGAAGCTTTATAGTGAAATGTGTCTAGTTCCTCATGAGTGCAGTTGTGGAGGGCAAGGAGCTGGGGAAGCTGAAATGGACAAAACCAATACCTTCCTTTAAGTTCATGTTGCCATGTACTGATGATTCTCCATCTGCTTTGATTTCTCAGACTTTTCTGATTCTTCTTATAAAAGCTTAGAGGATTCCACAATTCTCTATGTGCTTATCTGGTATTTGTGCTGGTTTTCCACATTCTTCGGATTTTTAATTTCAAATTCTCTAGCAAGTGGGAAAGAGGCTGCTTTTAACTTTTAAAAATCCCTTCCATATTCCAGAGACTGTTGTCTGTTCTTAGCCCTTAAATCTGCAACTCCCCACAGTCTCACTTTTAGCACGGCACAGAGGTGCCAACTCAGTCATAAACTCAGAATTATTCAAGCGTGGGCTTTCACTTAATTGCAAATCATAATTGAGTTTGGGCAGCCACTAACTTTCCAAGGTACTGGATGAATTACTCAGTGATTATTGCTTTTTTAAAGCACGGAACTCAGAGTATCTACCTGTTTAATATGCTCGATGCTGTAACTGATTCATGACCCCCTAGTCCCCTCTCAGGTTTCACATTTACTACAGTCTGTTTTGAATTTCTTCCCTATATGTTCACAGAGTATTGAAACTGGTAAAAGACAGGGTTGTTCAATGACCCCACTTAACAAATGCAAATCATTAAAAGTCACATAATCAATAAATGGTGGGGACAGGACTAAAGTTTTCTCTGTCTCCCGCTCTGTCTGTCTCTGTGTCTGTCTCTCTGTCTCCTTCCCTCTCTCTCTCCCATTTGGTTTTGATTAGATAAAGGTCTCACTCTGTAGCTCAGAACTCAAGATCTTTCTGTCTCTGTCTCCTGCCATGCTGGCATGGCTGGGGGTGGGGGATGCCCAGCATGCCTCTTGACTTGTGCTTTGAAGGCTGGGACTTTGGAGTGCGTATGATGTGCTGTGCAATATGATGGGAAGTGGATTAAGCCAACAGAGTTCGTCTCTCTCTCTCTCTATCTCTCTCTCTCTCTCTCCCTCACCTGTGCCATTTGATGTGTCTCATGACAGAGAAACGGAGACAGTTGGAAATTCGGGTGAATATTGAATGTTTGGGAGTTTTATCATCAGGTTTCCCGAAGAAACCCATTATCGGTCCAATATGGTATCTCTATTGTTAAGAGCCTAGTGTGTTCTCATTGGAACTTAGAATGTTCTGCTATCCAAATGAGTGTAAATAGGACATGGAAATGCCTCCCGTTCTAAGCACACAGGCTGAAGGCCCGGTCGGAACAGAGCCCAGGCAGGGGCCCAATCACTGTGACTTCATACTCAGGAATGGAATGTGAAAATAGAGACCATCTGCAAGGAAAGAAAGGTGATGCACAGCTCGTGTGTAACCTAACAACTTTAAGGACTTGCCTTAAAAATAAGCAATATAGAGCACAGTCTGCTGTGAATAACCCAGCCCTGTAACAAATTATCATTGGCTTACCGGCTTCAGAGCTGCCACCATGTGACCGGCTCATCCGGGTCCTGTCAGTTTCTTAATAAGCTAAGCACACGGCAGCATTCAGCTCTGCAGTCTCACGCCAGGGCGTTTTGCCCACGAGCAAGGGAACTCAAGTTAAAAAACAAGGCACAAATGTTAGTAGCCTCTCGGCTGACCTTCACCTACACTGTCCTAACAAAACATTCCAGACGGGGGGGGGGGGGGGGGTAGAGCAAAAAGAACAGCAAAAATGGTTTTCACGGTTCCGGAAGCCAGGAGGTTCTGAAGGTTTGTGCAGGTGGGATGCGTCGTGAGAACCCATCTCTGCTCCGCCCTTCCTCTGTGGCGTCCTTCCAGAGTGGATGAGTGCTGCGTGCCCCTCAAGGAAGAGGCCTGGGTAACGTCTCCTTTGTAAGGACCTTCACTTCATTCACAATGGAGGAGCCATTGTGACCTAAGGGGCTTCTAAGGCCCTCCCTCTGCATACTATCATACAGAGGATTAAGTTTCAGCCTGAATTGGGGGGAACACATTCAGTTCATAGCTCAATTTTATTCATAATCACCAAGACTCGAACATGATTCAAATGTGTTTCACATCTTGAATGGACAAATGTGTTAGGCAGAGCTTTCCTATCCCGGGATCCACTTCACATAACCAACACAGAGGCTTAATAGTATTTATAAATGCTCAGCCAATAGCTCAGGCTTGTTACTAGCTAACTCTTACACTTAAATTAACTCATATTTCTTATCTATGCTTCACCATGTGGCTCATGGCTTGTTACCTCATTTTCTGTATGTCCTGCTTGCTGTCTGGTATCTCTTTTGACCCTGCCAATCCTGCTCCCAGAGTCCTCTGTGTCTGGCTGTCACACCTCTATTTCCTGTCTGACTACCAGTCTGTCAGTTTTTTATTAACCAGTGAGAGTAATACATATTTACAGTGTACAGAAGGATTGTTCCACAGCACACATGCACTGTAATACAGCCGTATTGTGGAACATTATTCAGCAATCAGAGGAATAAACTTCCTCTGGGTCAGATGTGGGTGGACCACCACTGCTTTGTGCTTAATCAGGGGGCAGTAAACTATTTGTCTCGCAAGACAAATCCAGCCACACCTATTCACAGATTGCTGGTGATGGAGTTGAATAGAGGCAAAAGCAACCACATACCCTTCAAAGCTGGCAATATCTACTACTTGCCCCATCAGAGAAGTTTGATAATCCCTGTGCTTAATGAAGGGGGTCAGGTGCCAAAAGCCCCATGCTGTATGGTTCCCTTTATAGAACATTCTAGAAAAGGCAAAACTGTAGGGATGAAGGATTCATTGTTCCTGGGGGTACGAGATAAATGCAGAGGATGACTGAAAAGGGTACAGACCCAGTTTATGTCTTTCCCTTAGGGTTCTTGTACAAGTTACATTCCTGTGAACTTGCAAAAGCTAACACAACAGATACAACTGAGAAAAAAAAAAAAAAACCCTAAGAGCTAAAAAATGACGTTTTAAACTTCCAATTATAGAAACTGTAATGGAAGATTTTTAGATGGAAGGAAAGGAAAGTCATTGCCCAGATCGGCAGCAATCTCACCCCAGGTGACAATTCCAGCGGGACCCGGGTATCTAGAGATGACTGTGCGCCAGTTCTTTTTATGACACTTTCAAGCCTTTCCTGCTTGGTCACCCCGCCCCCACTGATTTCCATACCTTGTGAGCCTGTCCTCAGCAGTCCTAATTTTGAGACCTGGCTGGGAAGAGAGAACCTTTTCAACTGAGTGCTCATTTATCAGCACCAGGGAAGTCTATAATTGCCTTGTCTAGCCACACAAGCTCTTTAATACAGCAGTTCTCAACCTGTGAGTCTCGACCCCTTTGGGGTCAAATGACCCTTTCACAGGAGTCGCTGAAGGCCATCAGAAAACACAGATATTTGCCATACGATTCATAGCATCTCAAAATTACAGTTATGAAGTAGCAACAAAAATAATTTTATGGTTGGGGTCACCGCAGCATAGGGTATTAAAGGTTGAGGAACCACTGCCCTAATCACCAGTCACTAATTCATCCAAGAAGGAAGAGCTAAGATCCTCTCATGCCACCACCATGGCCTAAGACCAGCATCTATTTTGGAAAAAAACAAAAACAAAAACAAAAAAACAAAACAAAACAGAAAGCTTATTACGTGCATAAAATCCAGTTGTGTCTCAGTCAACTATACTAGCCATACATTAATAAAAATTTAATCACATGTATAGTTTCCAGTGGTTTCTTTATACTTGGGCAAGCATTCCTTTGAAAGGCAGTTTGAAGGGATTAAAAAACGATTTTGAAGCATCCCATCCAAGTGCTCTGTGATGCATGGATCAGGAAGCCACTCTTAATTAAGGGTGAGAGTTTTCAGTTCGGCTTCCAGTGTATTGCACTGAAGACCTGGTATTTTAAAAGGAGGAAAGGGAGCTGGCCTGTGCTGTGGGTACAGCTTAAGTTAAAGAACCTTCTTATGTAGATCAGGACAGTGCTGTATCCCCTTTCCAGTTAGACCTTTTCTTCTTTGAAGTATCATCCTTTACATGTTCAGAGGTTCCCCCACTCCATCAAATCTAGATAGCCTCTTGTTAAAGGGAAAAGATGCAGAATTTTAAAGATGTTTCTGAGGAAGGTCTCAATCATCGTGACTGGATTGTGCTCACTAATTTTCCTGTCTCTGTGTCAGAAAACTAGAACTAACATTCTGTTTAAATGGAAAGAAGACACACACAGCCTTTATTTTTTCTTTTCATGCAGTTTATGTAATAAAGAAATCATCAAAAAGCCTAAGCCTCCTTCCAAATCAAAAGCCATGGGAGTTTTGTGGTGTCTCGCTGTCCCTTGCTTCATTTATTGTGGGGGCTTCGCCTGGTGGGTCAGCTTACACAGAGCAAACCAGCTACTCCCTGATCTCATGCGCCCAAATTACCAGCCAGTAACAGGAGGAAAAGGGAAACATTAGAGCTGGCTTCCATTTGCTCAGGCTTCTGGGTCGTGGACCCAGGAACACAGACAACGCAGCTCATTTGCAGGGCTGCTTCAATGACTTCTCCCTGGGAGGGAACCACACAAAGTCATCCTCAAACTCTCTGACCTAGGGAAGCAAAGGCAGATGAAGAAATTGGGGTATGACTTGCCTAAGAGTAATTTGGAACCATTTCAGAAGGGATTCAAGACATAGAGCTTAAGTCTGTAAACCTGATTTAATAAGTGCACATCTTCAAAGCAATACTGTACATTTAAGCACTGTTCCATCCTTCAGCTGAAAACAAAATTACACCTAATAGATTACTGACAAATTGCTCTGATACCACAGCAGCTGGGGAAAAAAAAAAACCAGTACATTTATCTTGTCTCACTCATTGTTCGTTAAGGTTACACCATCACCCATTTTTACAGGTCCTTGCCATCCTATTATAAGACTTGAAATCAAATCAAATGTTGCAAGATACTTAAAGATAAACCTTTCCAAAAATTGCTACTAGAGGCTCAGAAGGATTGCTCTGTCAGCCCAGGTCTCACACTGCAAACAGGAAGACTTGAGTTTGGATTCCCAGTACCCATTTTAAAAGCTCGGCGGGCAAGGCACACTGGAAATCCCAATCCTGGGAAGACAGAGACAGGAGGATTTCTGGGGCTTGCAGCTCAGACAGTCTAGCTGGATCAGAGAGCCTAGGCACAATGAGAGACCTTGTCCCTTGTCTCAAAAAATTAGGTCGAGTGTAATTGAGGAAGACACCTGACATTAACCCCTGGCCCCCACCTGCATGCACGTATGTACACATACACATACACAAAGCAAAAAGAAAAAAAATGTTGTTAAAGTTCAAAATTATCTGCTGAACTGAAATCACTGCTACCCATTAAGTCACGTCAACCAGGGACCGTTAGACTCAGCAGAAGATGATACCGGGACCATATGCTGGCTGTTCTAAGTGTGGTGTGGGGAGCTGACCAAAACTCTGTCCTGTTCCCTGGGATCTGAGACCTAAGGGCCTAAGTACCACCATGTTCCGGTGCCAAGAATGATTGGAGAGGTGTCTAAGACAGCCTTCCTCAGGCTGTGGCCCCTCAGTACAGTTCCTTATGTGGTGGTGACCCCAACCATAAAATTATTTTTGTTGCTACTTTGTAACTAATTTTGCTACTGTTATAAATCATAATGTAAATATCTGTGTTTTCCGCCAATCTTAGGCAACCCTTGTGAAAGGGTCATTCGACCCCCCCCCCCGGGGGTCGAGACCTACAGGTTGAGAACCACTGATCTAAGAGTTTGCCAATTTGTCCTGTAGGCATCTTGGTTGATGTTCAGGAAGGAGAAGGGAGGAGGAGGAAGAGGAGGAGGAGGAGGAGGAGGAGGAGGAGGAGGTTTAGGGGGAGAGGCTATGAGGAGAGGGTACCCCAAAAATCAGTTCTTCCTATAGGCTGTCCTCGGGAATGTGGAAGACAAATTCATTATCGTTTCCTACCCTTCTTCTGCACACAACACAACTATTTCAGCCTGTGAAGAAAGGAATACATTTTAAATCTTGGTAAAATACTTTGGTATTTCTTCTCAGCAAATGTTTCTATTGTGGTATGCAGATTTTAAAGTTACTTGTGCTTTAAGAAAAATTAGAATCGCTTCTCGGCCTTTTGGCTAAGATCAAGTGTAGAAAAATTAGATAGTCTAGCTTTCTCAATTAAGACCATTTATAAATTACTATCATATAATCCCCAGTGTATTTGTACTGCATGGCTTTGTTGGGGGGGGGCGGGGGGGGGGAAGGGGATGGGGGAGGGGCAGGCAAAGGACCAACAGTCCCTACCATCTAGGCAGGCAGAGATAGCTGTCCACAGAAGCAACCTCTGGTGAGCTGTGTCCAGATGGTTGTGTGTTCCAAAAAGCCTTACCACTACCATCTCCAGAAAGAAGTAATAATGATGGACAGAAATGACATAAAAATAGTGAAAATGTATGCAAATATGATCATGTCAACAAAAAATTAAAAATTAACGAAGTGTTTCAGAAAAAGAAAAAAATTGTTATGTATTATTACATTTTAATGAGCATTTTGCATTTTGAAAACGGGAAAATTGTGCCTTTAGATCAGTCTGTTCCACTAATGAGGAACAGTAGAGTAATGAGGCTATCACAGCTTCTGTCCTTAGGCCCAGTTTTGTGACAACGGACCTTCATAAATTCATTTTCAATGGGTAACTAGGCAGGTTCGTCCATCCATGTTCACTCATGGTAGATGGAGAAACACTTTTTATTAAGTTTGATTTCAAAAGCCTTGTTTGGAGCTGGGGAAATGGATCAGTGGAGAAAATGTTTGCAGCTAAAATGTTTGTACTCAGATGACATTTGGTGAGTTTTT